GGGAAGGCCATGTTCAAGGGTGCTGATGGGAAAATGGTGGGCCTCAAGAACGTGCTTTGGGTGCCCAGCCTTGCTGCAAACCTGATTTCCGTGCGGCGGTTGGCAAAGGCCAGTATGGACACTAACTCGAAGGGAGCCAAGACCTACACCGCAAGGCTTGGTGATCGGGTTCTTTTGGACCTTCATGAGGATAGGGATGTCTACAACGAGATGTGGCAGATCCCAGTGGTCCCTATGCCTAAGGAGAGGCAAGTGGCAGCAAGCGCCAGCACCAAAGGTGAAGCGGTTGGTAGCGGCGATTGCGCGGACGGTCGCGCTAAGGAGAAGGAGTCCAAGAAGTGGAATCTTGGAGGGACCAGCAAGCTCGGTGATCATAACAAGTGTGGTGCAGCAGCCAAGGAGCAGCACAAGGGTGAGTAGAACCCTGAGGCAGCAGCGGAGGAGGAGTACGGAGAGAGCATGTGGGGCGCTATTGCGAGCGCAGCGTTCTCCAATCCGACTTCGGCTACGGGGGAGTGTGATTGGCTTACCTTGCATCAGCGAATGGGGCACGTGGCCCTGCCTATCTTGCAGCAGCTAGTGAAGAATGAGATGGTTGCTGGCATACGTGTGAAGGGGGAGCCCGATGAGGTGCTTGGCTGCCCGACGTGCATGCAAGCCAAGTTCACCCGGTTTCCGTTCCCTAGTTCAGAGGCAACGGCAAAGGCACCGCTTGATGAGGTGGTGATGGACGTGGTGGGCCCCCTGAAGCTTGGAGCTGCTGGAGGTGAGTATTTTCTCACCATTGTCGATGTCTACACCCGCATGACTTGGGTGTATGTGCTGGCCAAGAAGAGCGACGTGGCTGAAACGTTGAAGACGGATTGGTTCCCGATGGTGGAGCGGCAACAAGACCGTCTAGTCAAGTCAATCCGCACCGATCGAGGGGGGGAGTTCCTGAGCAAGGAGTTTGGGTTGTGGCTGAAGAAGAATGGTATTCGGCACTCCCTCACCATGCCATACTCCCCTGCAATGAATGGCATCGCCGAGCGAGCGAACCGCACAATCACGGAGGCGGCACGCGGGCTGCTCATTGAAGCCGGGCTACCCGACTATTTCTGGCCTGATGCGGTGCGGAGCGCATGTGTGGCCAAGAACAGAGCCTTGGCTCATGTGGGAGCAGACAAATGGGTGCCCTATGTGGAGTGGCTAGGAAGGAAGCCAAAAGTGGATATGCTTCGGGTGTTCGGGTGCATGTGCATGGCGCTCGTGCCTAAGCATCTTCGGCACAACAAGCTTGGTGCCAAGGCGGTGTGGGCCGTGCACTTGGGCATGGCTCAAAACAGCAAGGGATGGCTTCTTTGGGACCCATTCACCAAGAAGTTCTTGGTGAGCAGGGACTGCAAGTTCATGGAGAACTTCATGTACAAGGATTGGAAGGCGGAGAATGAGGCAAAGATAGGCGTGCGGTTTGGGGAGGTGAAGAGTTCTGGTTTGGAGCATGTGGAGCTGCCTTTGGAGCTGAGCAGTGGCAGCACTACCACAAGGCAATCTTCCCTTGTGAATGGGGGAGAGGAGGCCAATGATGCAGAGGAAGAAGAGGAGGAGGTGCAGCAAGTGAGCGAGCGTGCACCGTCACTCCCTTCCCGCACTACGAGTGCTCCACGGATTCGAGCCACACCGCAGCAATGCCAAGGCCCTCAAGTCCCTGCAGCTGAGGAGGAAGGAAGGGGGAAGAGGAGAGTTCAACCCCTTAATAGGCTGACCTATGATGCACTTGGAAAGCAAGGCAAGACAGCCCTGGCCGGAGCGGCAATGATGGTCGGAGACGACGAGGAGAGTGACTACGAGGAGTGTGCCTTCGCGTTCTTCTCTCCGGTGGAGATGCCGGGAGAACCAGCAACTCTCAAGGAGGTTTTGGAGAGTAGTGATGCTGAGGAGTGGAAGAAGGCCATGGAGAATGAGCTGAAGAGCATCGAGGAGAATGACACGTTTGAATTGGTGGAGCTACCGGAGGGGCGTACGGCGATAACGTCCAAGTGGCTCTTCAAAATCAAGTCGGATGCCGACGGCAAGATCGAGCGTTACAAGTCTAGGCTTGTAGCCTAGGGGTACCAGCAGAAATAGAAGGTGGACTTCAAGGAGCTGTTTGCCCCTGTGGTGAAGCCGACGACGCTGCGAACCCTATTCGCGGGAGCCGCCATCAAAGGATGGGTGGTGAAGCAAATGGACATTGTGACGGCATTCCTTAACGGCATCCTTGAGGAGGAGATTTTTATGGCGCAGCCAGAGGGGTTTGATGATGGTACTGGCAGAGTGTGGAAGCTGAAGAAGGCCCTCTATGGGCTGAAGCAGGCCCCTAGGCAATGGTACATGAAGCTGCGCGAAGTGTTGGAGGAGATCGGCTTCACTCCCTCAACGGCCGATCACTCCTTGTTCATGCTTGGCGAGGGGGAGCAGAGGAGCTTCATGGTGGTTTATGTGGATGACATTCTCATATTCTCACCCTCCTCTGACCTTGTGAAGGAGGTGATGCTGAAGCTGCATGACAAGTTCAAGTGCAAGTCCCTTGGCGACGTGAACTTCTACCTTGGGCTCCACATCGAACGAGACGTGGAGAAGCGGAGCATGCGAGTGCACCAACGGAAGTACCTGGAGGCATTGGCTGCCAACTTTGGCCAGAGTGAAGGTCATGTGGCTACTCCCTTTCCGGCTGGGTTCAAGTGTGTGAAGGGACCAGAGGAGGAGAGCGTTTGCGAAGAGGAGAGGCGCCGATTTCACTCGTTGGTGGGCAGCCTCATGTATGCGGCAGTAAACACCCGACCGGACGTCGCGTTTGCTACCGGGCAGCTGGCTAGGGTTGTGCAATGCCCTAATGAGGAGCAGGTAGCAGCTGGAATGAGGGTGGCCAAGTTTCTTGGCCAAACACCGACCGTTGGGCTGCAATACTCGGCGGCAGCACAAAGGCGCCAAAAGGGCGCGGATGGTGTTGAACCCGGGCGTTTGTACCTCACCGCCTACTCGGATGCTTCATATGCATCAGAACCAGAGGACATGACAAGTGTGGGAGGCTTCATATGCTGTGTTGGTGGAGGCCCAACTGCTTGGGAGAGCAAGAAGCAGGTTGACCAAGCTTTGAGCTCGGTGGAGTCCGAGTACATGGCACTCTTCCGTGCCGTACGGGAGATTGTGTGGCAGCGGCGTTTGTTGGCTGAATTGGGGGAGGAGCAGCAAGGACCTACCCCACTGTATTGTGACAGCCAGGGTGCCATTGCTCTTGCTCAGAACCCTGTGTTGCATGGACTCACAAAGCACATGAGGGTGAAGTGGCATTGGACGAGGAGCATGGTAACCGCGGGTGAAGTTGAGTTGCGCTACGTGAAGACCACGGGGCAGCCGGCTGACATGATGACCAAGAGGCTGGTGGAGCAGCAGCATTGGAAGTGTTGCAAGCTGGCTGGGATGGCTCTGAACTGAGAGAGCAACATATCCTAAGGCCAACAATCCGAGGGGGAGTTTGTTGGTGCAACCCTATGGTTTGGACTCGGCTTGTTGTCCGTGTGCATGCATGTGTGTGTGTATGGAATAGTATGAGGGCATGGGATAATATATATTTCATGCTTATAATTGTGTGTGAATGTTGAGTCATGATGTCGAGTGTGTGTGTTGAGTCAATAGCGAGTTATCGCTAGACGCGTGTTACGCGGTCGTTTGTGTCTCGCGCGCGGTTTATATTTTGTCGTGCGCGGTTTCTATTTTGTCCTGTGTCGAACGTTCGGTGTGTCGCAGGTGTGTGCAGCAGACCCATCAAGAACTCAAGGATGAGTTTGTGATGAAGAGCCCGAGCCTTGGTGTCAAGCCTCAAGTGATTTCGAAGCTCGCCAAAAGGGTACACCTCAAGATATTGAAGATAGTTACATTACTTTGTGTAGCGTAACATTTCACTTGGTGTAGGCCCTAGTGAAGGGTAGTTTCGAGACCCTTCGTGGTTGGGGACAGTGTGGCACTGTTCCACATCACTGTACCTCGGCTCTTGGGGTTTGTAGGAGCTGGGAGTCATTCCCAACTCGTAACTCTTCCTAACTCTTTCTATCTTGTGTTCTAAGACTATAGTGGCTGCCATGGTGCCGTTCGTTCAAACCAACGCTGTATCGTCAATACTTGGTCAAATTGTGCGATCTAAATTGCCTAGTGTAGGCGACAATAAGACGCTCTAGATCCAAGTTGAATCAAGTCATTTGCAGCTGTGACCAGAACGATATGAACGTTTGAAGCCGCTGTGCAGAAATCCGACTGTGCAGTCTATCTTTCGTTTTAGGCACATTGGAGCCTACTGTGACTATAACAAGAAGGGGTTGCGGCAGCGGGGGCACAGCGGGAGAGCGAGGGGGCAGGAGCAGGAGAGAGTGAGGTGTGTTGTTCAGGATCCGTCACTTTGAGAACTTACGACGAACTCAATACTCAACTAAACGCAAATCCGCTCGGTAAGAAGTTGCGCCTTAGGCTTAGCTACCATCTCCAAGTTGAATCAGTTGTTAAGATGGTCTAGAGAGTGAGAATCATGTAAAAACGTCCAGCAGCCGCATGACTAGAATGGTGGAGGAAGTACAAACATTAGGGCATAGAAAGTTGGAGTTGGGGACTCCAAGAGAACCATGAGAGGGAAGGAGTTCTCCAAGAGCTAGGGAAGGATCGTAGGAACCTTCCTAGCAGCAAGGATGCAACCCTCATCATGAGGTCACATGCAAAATCCAATCTAGTTGGATTTTGCCTAGGTGTTGCAACATTTGCAACCCATGCTAGAAACTTCTAGCCACCCCTATCCAAAAATCAAGATTGCCTTCCCTAACCACCCAACCAAAGATCCCTTTATAGTCATGTCCCAAGTAATCACCCAAATTAGATATTACCCCAAAAGGTAGTAAGAAATCCAAGTCTTGGAAATCTTGTAACTTGGGCGATCTTAGTCGGAATAAGGCGATCTTGGTATCGTTGGAAAGCTCTGGATTTTTCCTGCATGATCAAGCATCTAAACTTGGAGAAAAACACAGAGATGAAAATATCCAATAGCCATGCACAATGACATATGCTCCTGCAAACAATGCACGCATGAATAGCATGAGCACTCGGCAGGACGTTAGGATGATATGCACTCAGAATGACGTGCATCCAACAAACTCCCCCTCTAACTAACGGACTGCATGCACACACATTGACACACATGCAAACTCTCATGCACACAATCACACATGCACTCATGACACTGCTGCCCAAACTAGTGCAATGCCATGCCACACATTTTAGCACACTTCCAATGTGCGCTCTCGGGAAGTCTCTTGGTGAGAAAATCTGCCGCCTGCTTGCTAGCCTTCACATGGTGAAGTTCAACAATCCCCTCCTTCACCATCTGCCTCACCCAATACCACTTAATCTTCATGTGCTTATTCAGCCCATTCAGGATAGGATTATTGGCCATGCCAATAGCAACCTCGCTGTCGGAGAAAAGCGGTGTAGGTCCCTGCTGTTCAGCTCCCATGTCCTCCAGCAGCTTCCTCAGGAGCACGATCTCCTTGATGGCATGGTACGTCGCCATGTACTCTGCCTCTCCGGAAGACTGAGCAATCTCACTCTGCTTCTTGGATCTCCAGTTCACTGGTCCACCTCCGACCATGCACATAAAGCCGCCAACTGATGACTGATCCTCCTCCTCTGAGGCCCACGTAGCGTCGGTGAAGCACGACAGCTTCAAGGTTCCAGGCGTGACCCCATCTGCTCCAATCTGTTTCAGCTGGCCGCCAGCTGAAAACTGAACACCAGCAGATGCCGATGATCCGAGGTAGCGCACCAAGCGCTTTGCCACCTCCAACTGCTCCTCAGTGAGCCGCTGCACAACTCTGGCCAGCTGCCCTACTCCAAATGAAGCATGAGGTCGCGTATGCACAGCTACATATATCACACTCCCAATGAGTGACTGATACTCATTCTACTGCTCATCCTCCTCATCTGCCTTCTTCAGTTTGAAGCCCGCAGGAAACGGTGTCATCACACTGCGACCCCCAGTCACACCATAGCGCTCCATTACACCAGAGATGCAGTGTGACTGATGCACCTTCAGCCACCTCCTCTCAACATCCCTCTCAATCTGCAGCCCCAAGTAGTAATGGACATCCCCCAGCATCTTGCACTTGAAGTTGTCCATCAGCAGCTTCTGTGTCCTCTCAATCTGCTCCATGGAGGGTGAGAACAGCAGTAAGTCATCAACATACACCAGCAGCAAGAGCAGGTGCTCCCCCTCTCCAAGCAGAAACAAGCTGTGATCCGCCTGGGACGTCTTGAAGCCACCACCCAGCAGCACCTCCTCCAGCTTCTCGTACCAACACCAAGGCGCTTGCTTAAGGCCATAGATGGCCTTCTTAAGCTTGCACATCCGGCTGGTCCCATCCTCATAGCCGTCGGGCTGCGCCATGTAGATATCCTCGAGCAGCACTCCATTGAGGAACGCAGTGGTGATATCCATCTGCTTCACGTGCCATCCCTTCACAGCTGCGCCAGCCATCAAAGTGCTCAATGTCACTGGCTTAGCAACGGGAGCAAAGATCTCCCCAAAGTCGACCTTCTCTTTCTGTTGAAACCCCTTGGCGACCAAACGGCTCTTGAACCGCTCCAACGCACCATCAGCACCACTCTTCACCTTGAAGACCCACTTGCTGCTGATCGGCCGTCGCCCCTCGCGTAACGCAACAAGCTCCCAAGTCCCATTCTCAATGAGACTGTTGAACTCCGCATCCATGGCAGCCTTCCACTCCTCCTTTTTGGGGTCCACTCAGTGCCTCCTCCACTGTGGCTGGTTCTCCAGGCAAGGGTGTGAAGAAACAGAACGCCATCTCTTCATCATCTCCCTCATCTGCCTGAACCGCCATGGCACCTTGCTTGGGTCCTCCCAAACGGCTATACTTCAGCCTTGAGGGTGCTGCTGCCACTCTCTTCTCGCGGGTTGCAATCTGCTGCCCATGTGGTGAAGCTCCTCTCTGCACACTCCTCTTGGTGACCTTGGCGTTTGCAGCAAGCTCGGGCTGAGTTGGTGAGTCCACACGTGCCGACTCATCCTCCAACCCCTCCTCTCCAGCAGGGCCAGAAACTTGCTGCTCTCCACCGCCACTATGGTCACTGGTCAGCTCTGACCCGTGGAGTTCATCAAGGTGCAGCTGAATCTCCTCCACTGCAGACCGCTCAAACTCCTGCAGACGCAAGCCAATCTCCACCTGCTGCTGCTGGTGCCAGTCCTTGTACATGACATCCTCCACACACTTGACATCACGACTGACCAGCGTTTTCTTGCTCTTGGGGTCCCACATCAGCACTCCCCCAGTCCCCTCAGTCCTCATAGGACCCACCAGGTCCATGTGCACCACCTCCAGCGGCGCCTTCGCTGATCCCTCCGCACGTGGAAACGGGAACCGCACAAACTTGTTTTGCATGCATGCCTCGCAGCTGCCATAGTGAGCGCCATCTCCTTGCAGTTGCAGCCCATGCACGCAGTTCTCCTTATGCATCACCTCCAGTGTTGAAACAGCCATGTGTGCGAGCCGCCGATGCCAAGTCTCCCAATCCGCTTGGCCCGAGGTAGCCGACGCCTTCACCGCCGCGCTTCCTCCAATCAGCTCCTCTCCTTGCACACCGTGCTGCTCCTCCTCGGTGACACTCTCCTCCATAGATGCCGCCGCTGCCGCCTTGCCCGATTTCCGACAAGGGAGGACCGGGATCTGCCACATCCGCTTGTGGACATCTCCCTTCTACTGCAGGTCCCAAATGAGGCGCTCATCGTTGTAAGCACGATAGCGCTCCGAGCCAATCGTCTCGTTGTTCACACCCGCATCTCCCAACCGGCCAGTAGAAATCAGGTTCGCGCACAAGTCCGGCACCCACAGCACATTCTTCAGCCCCACGAGCTCTCCATCCGCTCCCATGAACTTGGCGCATCCCATGCCCATGACCTTGGCCATGGCGCCCGTCGCGGATGTGACCATAGAGATAGGTGCGGGCTGAATCTCATCGAGTAGGTCCACACGAGGAGTCATGTGCCAGGAGCTTCCCGAGTCAATCACCCAATGGGTGAGGGGGTGTAGGAGAACCTTGGCAGCCATAGCGAGGTCGGTTGCGCCTTCGTTCACGAAGAAGAAGAACCCAGCCTTCCGCTCCTCAGATTTGCCGCCTTTCTCCTCATCCTTCTCCTCTCCACTAGCTCCCATGACTCCCCCACTCCTCGTGCCACCACGCTGGTTGCTCGATGAAGGCGGGGTCCAATCCTTGGGTCGTTGGTAGCACTTCCGCCAACGATGTCCGCGCTTCTTGCAATAGAAGCACACCTCCCCTTGACCCCCGCCGCCATCCTCCTTAGGGTTGTCCTTGTTCTTGCCCTTCCACTTCTTCTTGAAGCCACTCTTTCCACCTCCAACTCCATAGCCAGCCCCCTCCTCCGAGCGCTCCACACTCCACCGCCGCAAGTCCTCCTCTAGGATGCGCGCGCGAATGTAATCCACGCTCCATTGGGGTTGTTGGGAGTTGAGGTTGATTGCTAGGGCAGACCATGACTCCGGCAGCCGTATCACGATCTCCACGAATTGCACGAGCTCCGGGTACACCACACCGCTGCCTTGGAGCTTCGTGAAGATGTCCCGCATCTCATCCAACACCGGTTGCATCGGCTCTCCATCAACGAACTTGATGTCGCGTAGTCGCCGCGCGAGTAGCACGATGCCGGTAGCATGTGTCGGTGAGTGCACATCCAGAAGCTTCCTCCAAGCCTTGGGGCCACACTCTGGATCACCCAAGAGGTCCTTGATGTGGTCAAGTTGTCGCCCGCCAACCGCTTGCACCATGAGCATGTACGCGTCGAACGATCGTTTCATCCACGCTCCTTTCAGCTCCGCGGCCTCCGGCATCTTCTCTCTCCCCTCCACCAGATCCAATATCTTGTATTGGGTGTACATCAGCCTCATACAGAAGCTCCAGTGCTCGTTGTCCTCCCCCATGAATTTCTCAATAGAGAAAGCTTTCTTAGGATCCACGGTAGTAGGAGATGGTGTAGAAGAAGTAGGTAGCGTAGGGTTGGCTAGTTGGTGAGTCCCCACTCCTCCACCAGCAACTCCCCCCTGCTCTCCAGCCTCTCTACTTGTATCCATCTCGCCACTAGCACCTCCGGAGTTCGTACCAACCATATCGAGACATTATGAATGGTGGAAACTTGAGAAATCGTTTGGAGAGGATTCTGTCAGAAATTTGGATTCTACAAAAATCGCCGTCGCGGACTGGATACTTCGAATTAGAATGCGTTGTGACAACCAATCGAAATTTTGCGAAAAGAGCTACTAAAAAATGGTCTCACTCGACAACATTGGTTGAAAATTCATGACGATTCGTCGTCTCAAAGTCGACTACCAGCTCTGATACCACTTGATGTTCAGGATCCGTCACTTTGAGAACTTACGACGAACTCAATACTCAACTAAACGCAAATCCGCTCGGTAGAAAGTTGCGCCTTAGGCTTAGCTACCATCTCCAAGTTCAATCAGTTGTTAAGATAGTCTAGAGAGTGAGAACCATGTAAAAACGTCCAGCAGCCGCATGACTAGAATGGTGGAGGAAGTACAAACATTAGGGCATAGAAAGTTGGAGTTGGGGACTCCAAGAGAACCATGAGAGGGAAAGAGTTCTCCAAGAGCTAGGGAAGGATCGTAGGAACCTTCCTAGTAGCAAGGATGCAACCCTCATCATGAGGTCACATGCAAAATCAAATCTAGGTGGATTTTGCCTTGGTGTTGCAACATTTGCAACCCATGCTAGAAACTTCTAGCCACCCCAATCCAAAAATCAAGATTGCCTTCCCTAACCACCCAACCAAAGATTCCTTTATAGTCATGTCCTAAGTAATCACCCAAATTAGATATAACCCCAAAAGGTAATAACAACTCCAAGTCTTGGAAATCTTGTAACTTGGGCGATCTTGGTCAGAATAAGGCGATCTTGGTATCGTTGGAAAGCTCTGGATTTCTCCTGCATGATCAAAGCATTTAAACTTGGAGAAAAACACAGAGATGAAAATATCCAACAGCCATGCACAATGACATATGCTCATGCAAACAATGCACGCATGAATAGCACGAGCACTCGGCAGGACGTTAGGATGATATGCACTCAGAATGACGTGCATCCAACAATATGGGGACTAGCAGAGGGAAGAAAGAGAAGGCAGCAGAGAGAAGGGATGGTCGCAGGGGAGTTGGGTAGGCTGTAGTGTCATAGGTTGTAATGCGGTAGGCTGTAGTGTCATAGGTTGTAATGCGGCAGCTTGTAGTGTCATAGGTTGTAATGCGGCAGGCTGTAGTGTCATAGGTTGTAATGCGGCAGGATGTAGTGTCATAGGTTGTAATGCGGTAGGCTGTAGTGTCATAGGTTGTAATGCGGCAGGCTGTAGTATCATAGGTTGTAATGCGGCAGGCTGTAGTGTCATAGGTTGTAATGCGGCAGGCTGTAGTGTCATAGGTTGTAATGCGGCAGGCTGTGGTGTCATAGGTTGTACTGCGGCAGGCTGTGTGTCATAGGTTGTAATGCGGCAGGCTGTGGTGTCATAGGTTGTAATGCGGCAGGCTGTGATGTCATAGGTTGTAATGCGGCAGGCTGTCGTGTCATAGTTTGTAATGCGGCAGGGTGTGGTGTCATAGGTTGTAATGCGGCAGGCTGTGGTGTCATAGGTTGTAATGCGGCAGGCTGTAGTGTCATAGGTTGTGATGCGGAAGGCTGTAGTGTCATAGGTTGTGATGCGGCAGGCTGTAGTGTCATAGGTTGTAATGCGGCAGGCTGTGGTGTCATAGGTTGTAATGCGGCAGGCTGTGGTGTCATAGGTTGTAATGCGGCAGGCTGTGGTGTCATAGGTTGTAATGCGGCAGGCTGTAGTGTCATAGTAATGCGGCAGGCTGTGGTGTCATAGGTTGTAATGCGGCAGGCTGTATCAGAATCCCAACCACTAGACCATTGGGATAAAAGGGCTCGTTAATTAGCGGGTCAATGCGCCCATAACCCCCCAGGACAACGAGCCTGTAACCCTTCCCTAGGATCAATCGGGGATCACCAGTGGACCTCTGACACCCCCCCGCACTGGGATGCCCGAAGTGCACACACTGGGATTCGAACCCGTGACCTTCGCTCTGATACCATGTCAGAATCCCAACCACTAGACCATTGGGATAAAAGGGCTTGCTAAGTAGCGGGTCAATGCGCCCATAACCCCCCAGGACAACGAGCCTGTAACCCTTCCCTAGGATCAATCGGGGATCACCAGTGGACCTCTGACAGGCTGTGGTGTCATAGGTTGTAATGCGGCAGGCTATAGTGTCATAGGTTGTGATGCGGAAGGCTGTAGTGTCATAGGTTGTAATGCGGCAGGCTGTAGTGTCATAGGTTGTAATGCGGCAGGCTGTGGTGTCATAGGTTGTAATGCGGCAGGTTGTGGTATCATAGGTTGTAATACGGCAAGCTGTGGTGTCATAGGTTGTAATGCGGCAGGCTGTGGTGTCATAGGTTGTAATGCGGCAGGCTGTGGTGTCATAGGTTGTAATGCGGCAGGCTGTAGTGTCATAGGTTGTAACGCGGCAGGCTGTAGTGTCATAGGTTGTAATGCGGCAGGCTGTAGTGTCATTGTGAGGATCTAGGATCGAGCTCATAAAAGATAATTGTAATTGATTGATTCACCTGGGTACAACACGAGGCTATTTATAGTCTCGACACAAGGCCAGTTACCCAGATGTTACGCGAATGTTCTGAGGGTCGCGAAGCGTCCCGAACAGAACCTTCTCGAACTCAGTAGAAAGCAATTCGGTGGAAACCGAATAGACTTGAGTTCGGTACACGTAACCTGGTTCGGTGCTATAACTATAATAAAATATAGGAATGCACCTAACCTAGGAAATCAAGCATATCTATGTCAGAATAATATGTAGTTCTATATATTGTTCTATAACTGCTTGTAGTGTAGAATACTGTAGTCATATAACTTTCTGTTTCGTGGTGAAAAAAAAAAAACATTCTTTCTACACCACCGCCGCACACCACAGGGCGTGCGGTACAGAGAGTAGCAGCAGCAGTTGCAGCGGAAGCAACGAGGTGGTGAGCCCACCCACAGGATCGATCCAAAGGGATCGACCTGCTCTGATACCATCTTAAAGTTTAGAAGGAATGAAGAGGATTGCACTAGCAAGAATGAGGATACAAATAGCAAACCCTAGAAGGGTTGTACTCGCTATAGAGCACCCCACTACAGGCTAGAGCATAACATTATGACAATCTATGCATGATAAAT